CCAGTAACAAAGACACGGGGAATTTCAGGTTAGCCTCCGCCGCTTGTTTACCTCAGCTGTCTGTGCTAACAAGAGACCTGTAGCTTTTCTCAAGAAAGTGGGGGCCAGTGGTCCGCTGTGATTGGTCACAATCTGGTCCCGAAACACATTCTCTTCCTTGTTGCATGAAAATTCGATCTAAAATAAAATGACACACTAGCACAAATCTGCGCTATATTCATCAAAAGTACGTTTATCCCAATGCACTGCATGGATATGGATTGAATTTTCGTAATGAATACAAATATAAAGTCTGGTAATGCAGCTTTAAAAGAGCTGCAGGAAATAGAGCTGTAAGGTGCCTGACCACCTGTCTGACTACTCAGGGACGTCAAACTCGTTTTTGTCTGGGCCAATTTTAAAATATCAGAGCTGGTTGGGGCCAGAAGTACAAAAGTGGTTTTCTTTTTCAAATCATGTTTTTTATACATATTTTAGACAAATGAATTGTATTTGAAATGTGTTTGGATATTATTTTATAGTAGATAGGTAGCTAGATACTTTATTGATCCCCTGCAGGAGAAATTCAGGTGTCCAGTGGCAGCAGAAAGACATGCATTCATACAAGCAAAACAAATGAATAGATAAGTCAATAAAAAAATAACCCAAGAATAGTATTAAAGTACAACAGCACTTTAGGTCACAGCGGTGAAGGTGGAAAAGCTGGGTCGGACTGTTACTTTGTCTCAATTGGTGACTTGAAAAGACCTTGATTTTAAAACTGCAAAACTGTGCTATCAAGTAGATTTCAAAGCCGGTCTAAATATTGGCCGAAATCTTCCACCACGACACCAACGATTTAAGAGTGCTCTCATAAAATGTCTTTGTAATCATCTTTTATTCAAAAAAATCCAAACAGAAAAGGTCAAGATAAACCTGACAGCTGCAGAAGGACAGTCTCCCATTTGGAGTTGACGATATGAAAGGCTTGTCTATACGATCAAACGCGGCAGACAGCGTGACCCCAGAGGAATCAAAAGACACAAACAAAAGACGTCAGAGCGGAGAATATCAAAGAAAGCTTTCCCCGCGGACCCACTGCCCGAGCGTACACCACGGGGCGCAATGTCCACGGCTCAACCCAGATCAAAAAGAACAGGTGCCATTCAAGTTCTTTCCGTCAAAAACTGCTCAGAAATTGCACAAATGTATTGGATAAAGGACCTGTAAAGCAGGGATTTCTAAACTACTGTAAATTACCTTATTTTGGACAAAAGAGCTTTTTTGAATGTATTAATTGGCTCAAAGTAGACTGAGATTGATATTTTTTTTACAGATAATATATAACGGCCTGCCTTAACAAAAGAATATTAAAACCTTCGAACATGTAGGTCCTGATATCAAGCTTCACGAGACAAAAAAATTTGTTTTGTTCAATTGTGCTAACTGTCACGAGGTGGGAAGGAGGAGGACTCAAAACGCAAGAATACTAAATAATGATTTAATGACAAAGAAAGAAATAATGTACAAGGTAAAAACAAAATCCAAATCCAAAACGCACACAGGAACCAGTACACAGACATGGACCAGCACCAAGGGGAGAAGATCACAGGGTACATATACACACAGACACAGGTGAAACACATCAGGGCGGGGCAAACAATCAAGTCAGGGGAACAAGACAAGAAGTACAACTAGATCCAAACCACAGAGAACCTCTTTCAAAATAAAACAAATATACAAAAATAAAATCCACACCATGACACTAACCTCCAAATGTAGCCTCATGGTTCAACATGCAACTCTTAATGAAAACGGTGACCCCCTGGTATAAATGTACAAATAAAAACGGCGTGAATGTACATTTTTTAAAGAATTCTCGATAAAATACTACTTCTTATTCATTTTTGATCATACCACTGTTATTTACTTTTAAGCCTCTGCAGCATTCTTAAGTGTTGAGCAAGTATGTACAGTATTACATAGAAGAACATTGACTATATTATACTAAAATGAAACTCTACTTAGTATTTAAGTGTAGTGTCTCTCTATAATTATGCCTTGCAGGATTTCAAATGTCCTGAACCTGAGAGGTTTACTGTAATATAAGGGCATGTCATTATTATCTGGTTAAATGCATTTTAACTTACTTCAAAAAGGCATATTTGGTCATTTAAGTTTTGTATTCTTTATTGTTCTATAAAATACCAACGTGTAACTCACAACAGGCTGCTACAGTAGAAAATATGCAGAGAAGATGAAGTGGTAGTACTGCACAGTGTCCAGCAGGAGGCAGAGTTTGAGTCCTTATCCATGGGGTAGAAGCGTCAAACCACCACTCACTGAGAACAGAACATCAAGCCTCTGTTACTGGATGAGAATACAAACCCTGCAAGTTTAAGAAAATAGATAAATACATAAAAATATTTCTATGACCCACATAGATTTGTTTGGTAATTTACCTTTTTCACATTACTTTTGTGATTGAAAATACAAATGAAAAATGATCCAACACTTCTGCATAGATGGAAAAACTGCAGTTTATGGGTTAAATCAGGGAGAGTAAAGCCAATTCTAAAAATCCATACACACTGAATGAATGAAAGGAAAGAAAAAATATTTAAGGATTACAATGTAGCACACAGTATACAGACTTACTAAAATAGTCCACTTTACCCGCTTGTTGCCATAGAGATGCCATTTCTTTGCTTGAAATAGACCTTTGCGTGATCTGTACTTTAATAAACAGATAAAAAATATTCTTACATCAGGTCTGGTCTCTTCTTTGCAGATATGATTTGTCAGCAAAGTGAAAAAGTTTGCTCCAGTATAGAGTTTTAATACTTCATAATATTTTTAACCCTCTCCACCACAATAAGCACAATGATATAGAACCAAAACCTAAGTGCACGTGGACAGTATCTTATTACAATAGTTTGAAACGTCTCAGAGCGTTTGGCACATGTGAAGCGTATGTGTGTGCGTGTGTGTGTTTGTGTGTGTGTGTGTAAGACGAGACAGGGACGGTGGGCAGGGCAGGTAAGGCGTGACGACACTGAACTACACTGAGCTACTTTTACTTCATGGAGAGTGGTTTGGGAGATGTGTCCGTGCAGAGAAATAGCAGCAGCGAGCAGGATTTTTCAACAACTGTGGTACGTACCCAAAGCCGATGTCTTATTTTATGACTTCGAGCAAACAATTGGCATGGCCGAATCTGAACAAACATCTAAATGAAATATGCCGGATCAATGTAGTAAAACATAATATATTGAATTGAAAGAATATAAAGTGTGTGATGTTGAATTTCTGGGATAATAATTGAACATGAAATGGGAAATGTTATGTTCAACTGACAAAGATAAGATTAGATAGACTGTATTAATCTCAGACTGGAGCAAAGAGGTATAACCTTTTAACTCAATTTATTTGCTAATTTGTAATTATTCATTTAAAAGGGGGTTAGTTATTAGATTTTTTTTATTGATCCTACTATTATGTTTTCATGGAATGTATAACCTTTGTACTTGCTTACCAGGAAGAAATGAAGCAATATAAATGGACAATTCAAGTATAATTTCATTTGGTTAAAGTGAGTTTTGTAGTGCATTCAAACCAACCCATGAGCAAGACACCACAAGGAAAACGTGTACTAATAAAACTTACCCAACACTTGCGCTCAGTGTTGGGTAAAATACTTTGAAAATGTATTTTGTTCCATGCAAAATACTGAATACATGACCTAAAATGTATTTTGTATAGTACTCCTGTAGTACCTGTAGTCTGAATACTTAAATATGTCTATACTTTTAATTATTATGTAATATTTATTGTAAAATAATGTTTATTTACAAAACTTATGAAGGTGAATTTTGAAATATTTAAAATCATAAATAAATAAAACATGTAATTATTGAATAATTTGTTTTTTATTTTGGTAAAACAAGTCAAAGTGCTTCAACAGCTGAATTTAAGCATAAAAAATAGAATCTTCACTTAAGGAGTACCCAAAGTTTTATTTTCTTTAACCTTGAAACGTAATGTGAGAAAGTATGAATTCCTGTAATTTCCAGAATGTAACTGTCTGACAATAAAGTAGTAACTGTAAGGGAATACAGTTACTCAGAAAAAGTATGGGATTTTGTGTATTCCGTTAAAAGTCCCCAACACTGGTTACGCTGCATTATGCAAAGTATTGTCCCTCATGTGACTTGACTCTGAAATGTTATTAGAATTTCCTCCTGATCCAAAAAAGGGGCTGTAATAGAGTTGTCTGTCTAAATACCTGCTTCAGTCGGTCGGGATGTTCACACTTGGCTCGCCCTGCAAGTGCAAGGTCCGATTAAAGGGTCAATTGCAGAGTGGAGCCGGGAATTATGGTAAAAAATTGGGTTCTAATCACCGTGAAGTGTTTTATGCACTTAGGTCAAAAGAACACAAAAAGTAAATCAGCCCAAATAAATTCAAAAGTGTGCTAAACAAGTGCAGTGCCAATGGAAAGTGCTGTATTTGAAATATAGGTTAGGGTTATTATAGTTTTCAATATATGTTGAAAACTATAACAACTTGAATACATATAAATACAATGATATTCTCTTGATTTTTGGATTACATGAGTTATAGCATATACTTAAATAAAATGCAGCTTCAATAAAAACTGTTTTTTCTTCAGTCAATATTAGAAAAAAATAAAGGCATACATTACATTTTAACAGCAGATCATTTTACTTTTAACAAATTCAAATCTGTTCAAATCAAGAAATTATTATTATTGTTGACAGTTTTTTTTTAAATTCTGTGCCCTCTTATATTTCTATGGCTCTCTGGACTAGACTAAATAATAAATGTTGTAATGCATTAAAACCCTATTACCAGCACTTACAGTATAAAAAAAACAAAAACTTCTGTGGGGAGAAACTGATCAACAAAGATATTATTATAAAAAGGCAGATGAGCTCTAAACATGAACACATATAATCCAGGCCATTAAAACATATTGATTTTGCTTTCTATTTCCACAGATGTCATCTCATCCAGAACAAGTCCTCAAACCCCCTGACTCAGGCCTCGAACCTCCTCCTGACGGGAGCCTCAAACCTCCTCCTGACCGGAGCGTCAAACCTCCTCCTGACCGGAGCCTCAAATCTCCTCCTGACCGGAGCCTCGAACCTCCTCCATGCGCGAGTCTCAAACCCTCTCCTGACTCGGACCCCAAACCCGTTCCTGACACGGACACCGGCCCGGCCCCACATGAGCTTCGCACCGTCATGGCCCGTAGCCCCAAGTGCGCACGGTGCAGGAACCACGGGGTCGTGTCGTGCCTGAAGGGCCACAAGCGCCTCTGCCGCTGGAGGGACTGCCGCTGCGACTGCTGCCTGCTGGTGGTGGAGAGGCAGAGGGTCATGGCCGCTCAGGTCGCGCTCAGGCGGCAGCAAGCGGCAGATGTGGCCAAGGCGCACGGGCAGGTCAGTAACCATACGTTGGAATTATGCGTGAGAGTTTTTACACATATTTGTTAAAACATATTTGTGCGTAAAGGTCACATGAGATCTGTGACTTCTGCCATGCAGTATTTCTATTGTAGCTATTTTCATGTATCACTGGCCTTCAATTCGGTACAGATAAATTATTATTTTTTGTTTAGCTCTGAATCACAACAGTTGTTGATTCACCAACACAGATCAGAGAATAAAACAGTTAGAACACAGGAAATGCAACAATAAATAAAAAAATAAAAAAACACATTGGACCAATGAATGTTGAGATGTCCATAAATGTAATTAAATCTCCAGGTCTGGATCATCACCATTGTCCATAGACCCTCCTGCATCTGCAAGAAACTACTATTAAAAAAACAGTGGCATTAAGGAAATGTGAGAAACCCCTCTTGATAAAATCTGAGAAAGAAATGAAATGTCGAGCAACAAATTAAACAAGAGATCCTTTAATCATCCCGTACAGTGGGAACATTTCAGGCAAAACTTTAAGATTCAGATTCTTTTTATTTACCATTTGCAGCAAAACCACATTGGAATAAATTTGCAAAAGTCCCCAGTGTGCACAATAGCCAACATTCTAGAAAGACTCACTTAAACATCCTTTCGTTCATGTGTATGTGTCTTTGAATTGTGTTTGTGTAATTGTAAGATTTTTAAAGTTATTTTCTGCAATGCTAATTATTTGCAGTGGAAAGTATACGTGCACAAAGTAAATCCAACTTACACAAATACTCCTGATTATACTGAATAAATAAAAATTATCTGTAAATATTTGTATATGCTAAATATGTGTATGACATCAGTGACAACAGACATGTAGATCATTAAAGCCTGCATGAGGTATAGGGGCCTAAAAGGTAAACAAAAGACTAAGACTAAGCTAAACTGCATTATTTTGTCTTTGATTAGTTTTCCATAATGCACCTGAGCAGTATGCCTTTGTGGTTATCTTTTCTAACTTCTAACCTTCTTCTCCTGTTGTTTACCATGCGTCAGGGTGCACGTGTGGTCCGGTGTGCCGCTCCAGTGAGGAGGACGGCCTATCAGCGCTACAGCAGCACGGTGGAGCCGGCCTGCAGCCTGTCGAAGAGCCTCCTGCAGGGTGAGCTCCCAAACATCCAATTCAATTCAATGTATTCTTGTATCGCCCTAAATCACAACAGTTGTTATCTTGGAGGACTATACAAAACGGCTAAATTTGCCAATACAGATCAGAGAATCAACAGTTAAAGAAATGCAATGATAAATGTCCAGATGATGATAAATGTCCATAAATGTTGTTGAATGTTGAGTGGAGTGTTCCGGATCATCACCACTGTCCTTTCAGTCGGACCCTCCTACATTCTCCTCCTTCAGCCTCTCGGGGAAAACTGGCATGTGCTGGGATGAAGTTTATATTCCCTGTGGCATTTCACTCATCACACAGACAGCAGATGACAAGAATCCTCTGGTGACAGGTAGACCATAAAAAGGGTTCGTCCAAACAGCTGTACCCTGGTCTAACCAAACCATTGTACTAGTTTACTAATTGGACTAAGGTCTGGATTTTCTCTATTGAGCTCCGTTAACAGGTGGGAGGGGTTACATCTTTTTGCATATTTAAACGATTGGATCAGAGTTTGCCGTGACGTATGTAATATGCTCGAGTGAGTGAGGCATTTATCCTTCGCCACTAACGGAGCCCGTGGGGAGTAGAGCCACAACATGCCAGCAAATTGCTAAACATTCCTCTTTCTCCGGCTTCAATTTCCTGACATTTTGAGCCGAACCAGAACGGATTACTGTATTATTATTAACTACAACCAGCAAATTTGGCTCAAATTCTTGACGTCACCGACATCTACCTACAACCCGGCCTCCCCCATCGCTGAATGGTCGGAGAGGATACAACCGCAGCCCCTAGGATCAAACCCAGACCTACTTGTAGAGAAACAATAATTGACCAGAGTTTTACGGATGGCTAAGGCCAGGCTATGACAGCTGTAGCACAGTGAAAAGAACAGAAAACTCAAAACTAAACACGCTTTTCAACCCTCTAAACCTCCAGGCTTTTGGCTCAAGCTGGACCACTATGGACACATTTATACTTCAGCCCTTTAAAGTATAAAATGTGTCCATAGTGGGCTTGCTTTGCTGCAAGCCTGACACCTCCTGGTTTTTCAAAGGAAATAAGGAAAAATTGATAGAAAGCTGAATCAAAGAAGAATAACTGTAGCCAAACTTCACTGTTTTATATATTAATTAATTTTTAACATATTTGTTTAAAGCCTCATCAGCAAATTCCATATGATTTAAATACATGTGCATAACACACTTAACTTCTAAATTTCAGTTTTGTTAATGTAATGTTTTTCAAGTACGGAATTAAGGGTATCATCGACAAGCAAATAACTTCACAAGGTCAAGTATGAGAAAAACATGCAGGCAAATACAATCTCAGAGTACATCTCCATGGCAGAGTACATCTTCATGTCAAGTCTTCATTAAAGGGCCCTAATCTGTCAAAAGGCATTAATAAACCATGCTCTTTTCCAATACTTCTTTTACTGAACAGTAGTTCAGAGATTTTTGAATTTCAAAATTAGTTTTACTGCCCCTAAATCTTGTTATTGTTTTCATGTCCCGCCCTCCACCGTTTTTCTAATCAGAAAGTCTGTGATCCGGGTTGCCAGGACTCACTGCGTCGAGCTAATCTCACTGGTAAAATACCATGTGGCCACAGGACTAAAAAGATCTTGTTATGATTCTCAAATCATTCATGACAAAACAAGGAATCAAACGAGGATTTCTACCGGGGCCTTTGTGAAAAAAGTGTCGGATAGAGATTTGTTGTTCTCAAAACTCTTGTATATTCAGCTAATATGGTGCCAGCTGGATTTGTCTGCATATCTGGCTACCTCAGTCAGGGAGAGAGGGAGAGGTTGCAGCACGACTTTTGGCCAAATTTTCACATACTGCTCCTTTAAGCCTGACTGTACAGTTACAGGTAATTATTGTCCCCTATAGTAAATAAAAAGATATTCACAGACCCAACAAATCAGAAAAGCTTTTAAGTCTGCAGCAGCTTTAGTTGTTCACAGTAACAAATAATCCATAAAGTTCCCCTCACAAAGAGCTGCCTGGTCTGCTGCCCTCTCTGCTCTGGATGTCATTACACACACAACATAATGCGTATTAATATCTACTGGCTTGTGTTCAAAATCCTTCAAGTGCCATTGTTTTCTTTATAGACCTCTTACCCTCACAGTGTAAAGTAATAATGACAGAGCTAACCAAGTGAGTAATTAAAATAATACATGGGAAAGCACTTGAGCTGGAATTATTTACAGCCTATTGCATCTTGAAATGAGCTATGGGTAAAAGAAAGTTGGTTGTTTAGAGTTTGCACAGAGACAGTTTGAAGCTTTAGCCTAAATATCGTCCTTTTTCCTCTGCTTGATCTGTTGCCGGGCTGAGGAGGCAGCCGTCAAAGCAGAGATGCCTGGACTTGTCTATATGTTTCTGCAGTTCAGCTGAGAGTCCATTCAGTTCTTTGGTCATTCCTTCAACCCTATGACCTGGGTGAGGGTGGGATCGTAGATTGACCAGTGATCGAGGGCTTTTCATTTTGACTCAGCTCCCTCTTCACCACAACATCGGACAAACAACGACCGGTCCGCCTGTCAATGTCGCTCTCCATCCTTCCCTCACTCGTGAACCAGACCCTGATATACTTGAACTCCTCCACTTGAGGAAGAACCTCTATATCCGAATGCACTGAGCCATTTATTGCTTTATAGGTGTGGCTTTGCATTCCAATTAGTAAGGCATCACAAGGTATTCAAGGTTTCAGGACCGTCACTATTGCAGGTTTTCATGATAACCTATATTTAATCTAGTTTAGTTTATGTTTATTATTCTTGAGGGTATTTTGTTAAAGCAGGGATTATGCAAAATCGACCACGTTATATAGCACAAAAAACTTGTGCTTTGATTTTTAAGCTGCACTAACTGACTTTATTTTAGTATTCATTACGAAAATGCAATCCATGTCCATGTAGTGCATTGGGACATACGTCCTTTTGAAGAATAATTAGCGCAGATTTGTGCTGGCGTGACATTATATTTTAGATTGAGTTTTCATGAAACAAGGAAGATAATGTGTTTTGGGACCAGATTGTGACCAATCACAGCGGACCACAGGCCCCCATTTTCTTGAGAAAAGCCACAGGTGTCTCGTTAGCACCGACAGCTGAGTTAGCACAACAAGCGGCAGAGGCTAACCTGAATCTTCCTGTGTCTTTGTCACTGCTTACACAGCAAAACATCCATCCAAAAGAAAGTCTCGTCCTCTCTGCGCTTCCCGGTTCTGTCATGCTATGGACACGCCATCCACGTGCAAAAGTGCCATATTGTTCCATATTGTGAGACGCTAGCTCCGAAGCTAACAACAGCTGTGGGGGAGGGGGTAGTGAGGGGCGAAAGCTCCGTGGGTGCGGGGAAGGCTGAGCAGAGAGAGGGAGCGCATCACTCACGTTTGAAAATTTCTCCAAATCAGCAGCTTTAATTTTAAGCCAAGAAAAGAGAGACTTTTTTTGTACATAACTATATCCTGCACGGACTACATTTTTAACCTTTAACATGTTTGCACACTTCTGTCTTAATCACAATCTGAGTGTGAGATCAATAAAATCTATCTTCAATGTCAATGTCAATGTCAAATGTATTTCTAAAAGCACATTTACAACATCAAAAACGCTTGCCCAAAGTGCTGCACACTATAATACATCAAATATCTTATCTTATCTCATATAATCTTTATTTGTCTCACTTTTAGTTTCTTGAAAGCCACCACCTCTTGCCCAACGCTCCTCGATTCAACATACATTGCATTTAATTTTAAAAATGAAAGGCAACTTAGTGATCAATAATTTATGTGTGGATATCAAATACACCACTCAAATCTAATCGCACTGTTTGCTTTTTCTTCTTCTCCCCCAGGCCTCAAACCCACTTCCCCCGTGAGCGACAGTTCCCCCTACTGGTCCAAACACGCACCTCTGTCCTTCCCCTGTCCCTCCATCAGCGCTCGAATGAGGAAGAGGAGAACCTTCGCCGACAAAGAGCTGGACAAGGCCATGCTGCAGCGCGAACTAGAACAAAACAATCTCCACGGCAACCAGGACTGCCCGTCTCCATCGCTTCTTCCTCCTCCTCCTCCTCCTCCGAGGCCCATCCCGACGTTTGTGCCCGTGTTCAAATGCAAGCCCCTGTTCGAGTGTGATTTTCACGTGTATCATTTGCTGTACGGAAAGTCATTCAGGCCGGGTACTGACTGCTTCGACATGTACGAAAGGACAGAGGAGAAATACGTACAGTCGAAAGAAGAAAAAAGCTTGAATTTCGGAGAGGAAAGACTGAAAAAGCACAGTTCATCGGAGAAGCTGACAGACTCCAGGGGGCTTATGCACAGATCAGAGGAGGGGTGTAGTAGTAGTAGTTGTAGGAGTAGATGTAGAGAAGGGGCCCCTGCTGACAAACCCGGGCCCCATGTTGTGGCTGTGAAGGCCCCTGTCTCAGAGTGTCCGGCCGTTAAGCCTTTGCCGTTTTCAGTAGAGGCCCTGCTCAGATCCTGACAAACACTATGGCCTGCTAGAGTCGGTATGCTATGTCTTTCAAATACGCTATCTGTGTGGCTGACAACAAAAACAGAATCTTACATCTTTTAAAGAAGAGGCAAGGCAAGTTTATTTGTAAAGCACATACACAGGGCAACTCAATGCGCTGAACAAAACAGTCATACAAGGCCCTAAGAGGGAAGATTTAAACATGGTCAGAGTTGAGTCACATTTTCAGGAAGACTGTTCCAGAGAATTATTGTTGTCCATTAAAAATAAAGACACTTTTTACATTGTCATTTCATTTTTTAGAAGTCGAAATAACTTCAGGAGAAAATATATGGCAGCAGATCAATCAAGGATACACTTGATGCTTGACTCAGCATGTAACACTGTATGCTGCCACCAGAGGGAGGTGTTGAATTTGCTTTTTTTCTCAAATTCAAAAATTACCAGCTGCAAGCACAGCTACGTGATCATATAGAATGTCATCTGCGAAATGGACTTAATTAATTTAGGATATATGGATAATTTAGGATATACGATTACAGGACAGAAACAGGACCTTGATTGGAGTTATATGTTTTTGCCTCATTAATTAGCAGGATAACTATGAAAACAAATACAGCTTCTGTTGTTGGCTAGAATCTCATAAAAGATCTTTGCACGAAGCAGGAGGATGAAAAAAATGTACAAGTATTTTAAGAACTAAATGGGGGTTAGCTGTCACGTTTTATTTTGTTTTTTTCCTGTGAATTTCTCAATTTCATTTAAAATCTCAAGTAACAAAATATTGAACTTTAAGTGATATAAAACATAAAACACCAACTCCACGTCACGGTTTCCTGCCACTTGAATTTAACAAAGTTTTTTTTAATTATTTTAACTGATTGATCAATCTGTAGTTTTGTAGATTCAATGTTATTTTTACAGAAAGTCAAAGCTTATTCTCCCTTGGCAGCATCGTGGTCAAAATTTCCATGTGGACTGCAGCTTTGGCTCATCACATTAAAAGAGCTTTGATTCTTTTTGGAGGCAGGAGAAATATACAGCAACAGAATTATAAATCAAAGAAGATGAAAAGGTCGGGCACTTTTTGAACTCCAGCCCAGTTTGAACTTCACTCTGATTTAATGGAGAAAGCTATAGATTTAGCTTGTAATTGTGTTTTTCATTTAGTTTGCTCATAATGCTGCACAGAGAGTCATTAAATGTATGACAGGTTTTTATGATAAGTAATGTTGGTGAAATTAATCAATAGTTTTACCCAAATAAAGCCAAAAATTCTGAATTAAATCTTCACAATTTACTACATCTTTAATTATGAAATCCCATCTTTTAGCTTTGGCAAATAAAAGAGGAGTTTAATGTCACATGCACATAAAAAAAAAAAAAAAAATCCTTCATGAGAAATCAGCTTTCCCCATGAACTTGTGCACATATGAAACCCGACAGGGACCTACTCACTAAATCTACTTTGTAAAATGTTTTTTTTTAGGTATTCATGAAATTGAAAAATATATAAAAACAGTCCAAATGCATCTCCACCTGCCTCATTCTGCCTCCTGCTTGATCACATGGAAAAGTTACTTTGTCGGCTGGATTTTTTTTTTCTCGGATGAAAATTAACATTTGTACATTCATGTTTTTTTTGTATATCAATGTACATTGACATGCACTGCCCCGTGTTCAAATAAACACATTAACCCTTGTATTATGTTAAGGGTCAATTTGACCCATTTCAGTTTTTGTGTTGATCAAAGTACTGGTTATCCTTTCTTTTTCTTCCTGAAATTTGGTGACTTTTCCTCATCTAGGGTCATGAACTGGTGTGTAAAATATGGACACCTTGATGTGTAGTGGAATGTCTGTGCAGAGTTTGTATACAAAGATGATGTTGCGGGTCATTATGACCCTGACGCTTTAATGTGGGTAAATAGTTGTTCAGATCCAAAAAAATATGTCTCTTTGACATTTTATTTTGATTGCCTCTGAGAGCCAGGTGTGTGAAGAGAGGGAACTTTCTCACACTTGTCCTTGTCACTGTTCTCATGTCATCTCTTTTGCCTAGTGTACATCGTACTGGCAACTGAATATATCCGTCGCCTTTGAGTTGCTGCCCCGTACACATCGACAATCTGGCGAAAACGGGAAACTCCCAGTAGCAGACCAGTCTCGGGAATAACAGCGCGTACATCGACAGCAACTGGCCTCAACTACAGTGTGTTTTCTGACATAAACTGTAGAGGGCGCAATACACGCAATACACACGTTGTTGGAGCGCGCCACGGAGCGTGCACATCGGGTGATATCTCCGGATCTGAGGACAACTAGTTGCCGAAAAGTAGAACACGGGCAACTGACTGAATCCGGAGATCGACTGTTTATCTCCAGTTGTAAGAGCGCTCACATCAACCGATTTTGGCAACTGATCATCTCCCATCCTCTACTCTCTGTTGCCAAAAGCCGCCTTGCAACTAGTTAGGCAATGCTAGGCTTTAGACAAACTCACCAAAAATGAGCTCCAGAAGGATGACATCTGAGGAGGCTTTATCACAGATTTTTAACTGGGATAATGATGTAGAGGAAGAGATTTCAGAAACAGAGGATTTTTCAGATACAGGACAATGTTATTGCTGATCCAGATTGTCAATTTTCTTACGATAAGGAGGATTCAGAGGACGAATCTTTAGCCAAGTAAAGTGGAAGGGAGGAAGGAAGGAAGGTAGGAAGGAAAGAAGGGAGAAAGGAAGGAAGGAAGGAAAAGAAAAGAAGGGAATAGAGAAGGATGAACAGAGAGAAGGAAAACAGGATGAGAAAAAGGAAGGAGAAAGCATGGCAGGAGGAAAGAGGGAGGGAAGAATTGTCATTTTGACCCGAGAGGAGGACAAGAAGATTAGACTAAATATTTCTTAAATATATCGTTGGAATAAAAAATGTATTGTATGTCACTTTTCTAAATATTTATATAACCTAAAATAAAGTTGTTATTGGTTTAACCTGTTTTCTTGACTGTTTTGAGTGCATTTACACAGTACGGGTCAAAATGACCCGCAACATAATCAATGTAATTTTTTTTCAACATAATACAAGGGTTAAAATAAAACCTCCCATGTCTAAAAGAATGTGTTCTAATCATAGACTGTAAAAAATAATGGACGTAGTCACGCCTATCTCCGCCGTTCCAACTAATGGGCCAAAAAAATTGCTCTACTGGAGCTATCCAAAATGGCGGAGTGGTCCCGCCCACAACACAATTGTGAAAAAACGCATCTGCGCATGCGTCAGCCGGCGCAGCTCCATTCATTTCACTTCAAAAATTAACACCAAGTAAACTAGAGTGGTCCAAAAAAATTCCCTCCCCTCAGCATTGACACACATGTGGAACGGAGCTTTGGGCCAAGAGCCAACTTTTGGACCATCCTGTAAAGACGTTTTTGAGAGGTCTGCCAATGCTATATGTTAGCATTGGCTAATTCTTCTTCTGGGTCCACCCCCATCGGCCCGGGGTGGTATTGCAAGCATGTCAGCGCACGTCATTTTGGCCACTTTTGAGCCGGGACCCGCCCTCACTGGTTCTAATTCAAAAGACAACATATATAACTAAGAAAATCATATTTGTCACACTTGCAGTTTTTTTTGTACAGATTAAATTCTTCTATGATTCCTGTATTATTCATGGTCAGTGTGGGAGGACTGAGGAGGAGGGCCCAAACTATTAACAGTATGTGATTGTCTGGAGTTTGTCAGAAAAGAGAGACAGAGAGGTACTGGATTGGTCTACACCTACGTTTCCGTAACACTTTGAAATGTTAATCAGAGAACACATTATACATCCATCCATCCATCCATTTTCTTCCCCTTAGTCCATTTCTGGGTCGGGGGGGTGGCAGTCAGAGCTGCACACAGTCCACTTAGCACATTATACATATACATTATTAATACACATGCACGGAGGTTTTCATAATTATTTTTTAACGTTTTAATGAAAAAAATAATGTTTTTATGCACAAAAAAAGCGATCGCGGCAAACCCGGAACAAGCTATTATCATGAATTGCACATTATCATTATAGGACACATCTGCAGAGGATCTGATTATGGATATAGGTTCAGTATATAAATGAGTAACTCAGCGCGGATGTTCAAATTCTTTGTTCAGTTTTGATGTAGTTCCAGAGAGTAATAGAGGCATGATTCGGAGGTTCCACGAAAACAAACAACTGAGCATGCGCGCTGCTGCGAGCATCAGCGCTGATGATTGACAGCCCTTGGCATGACTTGATTGGTTAAACTGGACAGCACCGTGGATTCTGAGCTATAGCTAAGAGAATGGAAGGGGGACTTGCCAGTAATATTAGAATTAATAAAATGACTTATTTTATATCATCATCATATAACATTTAAGGCCAGGAGGTCAATTTAACACGTTTCCTAAAATTTGTAATTCATTTAGAGTTACAGACTATCACTTTAACCCCAGTGTTTGTAAAAAATAAAACAATAAAAAACCCTTTGATTCAGATTCAGATTCAGTTTATTTGCCATAAAAAAACCACATTGGAATACAGGAGCAAAACTGTCCCCAGTGTGCACAGACAAATACAGACACAACACAACATTAAAAGTACAGAAATAAAACAAATGAAACAGTAAACAATTGTCAATGTGAAATCGATCGACTAAAACAGTTTAAAAACAAGTGCAAATCAAGTGCTCTGTTCACACTGATAACAGCTTGTGGATAAAAACTGTTAGCATAACGAGATGTCCTGCATCTCAGAGAGCGATATCTTCTACCAGAGGGAAGAAGCTGGAACATGGCTTTTCCAGGGTGGCCAGAAGAGTCATTGATAATTCTTAGAGCTCTATTAAGAAGTCTGGATTTATAAAGAACCTCCAGAACAGGAAGCTCACAGCCCACGGTCCTCTTTGCAGAGCGGAGCACCTTGTTTAAAGATCTCTTTTCTTTATCTGTGATGTTTCCAAACCACACAGACACAGAACCAACAAGTAAACTCTCAATGGTGCAGCGATAA